GATTCCAGATTTTCAAATACCTAGTTGTATCTCGGCCAAATATTCATCATAACAAACCATACATCAATTGAAAGTTTATTTATTCAGCTTTCAGATGATGTATAAATCTCAGCTTCGAAAAATTGACCCTTATGATTGGTTTTGTGGTCCAGGGAGGCTGCTTTACTATCCCAAATGGCTGCTGACCTCTGGACGCCATCAAGCACCACTGTCAACCTGTCAATCATGCGCTCGGGACGTTTCAGTGACCGACCACTTGTTGTTGTTTCCCATTAACTTTACCCCATGTAAGCAATCAGTACATCCTGCAGATAATGCTTGTTTAAGATGACCAATAAAGGGCAAGAACTTTACCCGCTAAAATTGTTCGGTAAATGTTTTGTGTGATTTATTTTTCCAACTTAAAATAGCCATATTCCCATTCAGGAAATGTTACTATACGATTTACTGCTATTTTACTTACTAAGCTTAAACCCTTTTTTACTCTATTCCAAAAAGATATGGACATGTCCATCTGAAAGTCAAAACTCACGTTGCACAATAATATTTAGGTAAATAGCGCCACCTGTTGGTCAAAAAAGAGTTACAAGTTAAATTTAACAGTTGAAAAGTATTTTTTCCTGAAGTATTGTGCTGAAGAAAGACTTAACGATATACAAAAAGCACCTCAGACCTCTTCTGTGAAACAGCTAAAACACCTTGTTTTACTATGGTAAGCGTGTTAGAAATATGCAAAACAGTCAACTGTTGAACTACAAGGAATCAGTTTTTTCAATGACCGTCTATTCTTAAAATTGGACATTTGATCCCCTAATCTTGATTATGACGTTGTTTAGGAGGTCGATTTGCTGTATTGTACAATTTGTATTTATTTTAAAAGACAAGATTGTCATGGTCCAGGTTAATGCATTTTAAATGATCAACTACGTCAAATACAGATTTCACTGTAACAAGTATTTTCAGAAATACTAAGATGAAACATCAATATAGAAGAAAATTATAAGAGAAAATGTTATGTGAACAGTATAAATAATGGAGTGAGCATTATACCCAAAAAATATTCTAACTACAAAGTATGCACACACTGGTCAACCATGAAATTTAAAGGACAAAATGGGCCTTACATTTCATAAAAACATCCTTAAAGGGACAGTTCACCCAAACATTAAAATTCTGTCATCATTTACTCACCCTCAAGTTGTTCAGAATGTATGAATTTCTTTCTTCGGTTGAACACGAAAGAAGATATTTTGAAAAATGTCGGTAACCAAACTGTTGACGGTAGCCATTGACTTCCATAGTATGAAGAAAAAATACTATGGACGTCAATGGCTACCAACTCTTTGGTTACCAAAATATCTTCTTTCATGTGCCACATGAGAAAAACTCACACAGGTTTGGAACAACTTGAGGGTGAGTAAATGATGATTAATTTTTGGGTGAACTATCGCTTTAAACAATTCAGGCTATATTTTACCACATTGTAATTAGATTACAATTAAATCAAATGCAATGCAAAAAAAAAAGACATTCTTTATCACACCATGGCTGTTCTTGCAAAAAAAAGTTGCAAATGAACTATAAAAAAGCAAAAAAGTTCATCCTCTATATACAAATATAGAGGATATAACATTTACATTAACATCAAAAACAACTGAATACGGTTTCAGGAGAATTTCACTCCTTCTGGTCGTCTTTCTGTTCTGTAGCCGCCTGCGGCCCGACAGTCTCCACAGTGGCAGTGTTTACGCTACTGACGGCGCTGACGGGTACAGCAACTACAGTGCCGCCCACGGCGCCCCCTACTGGCGCTGCCAGATTCTGCACCGTAGCTCCAGCTCCCACTGTGGGCAGCGTGACCAGCTGAAACGGACTGACCACTTTGACGATAGTGGGTGCCGTGGACCCCTGCGGAACCGCGGCGGTGCTCAACAGGGTTAAATTAGAGCCTTCAGACTGGAGTTCGGTGCCTCCGGGTGATGTCAGCACTGTGTATCCACCGATCAGGGGTGACTGGGTCGGAACAGACAGCACTTTGTCCAGCGGGAAGCCGGCGAGCTGCGTGATGGGCAGGGTGAAGTGCATGGGCTGGGCGGGCGTGGAGGCCACGGTGGCGGGACCCGAGACGGCACGGGTCAGACGGGGGCGCTTGGCAGTGGGAGGCGAGGTCACGGGGGTCATGGTCATCAGGACGTTGTTGAGGTGCTGCGATTTGCTCTTCAGTTCTTTGGCGCGTTTGCGATGCTCGTCACACTGTTGCTCTAGGGCTATAAATGCAAAAAAGTTAAGCTCACTTACTTTTTCCTTTAAAAGCACAGAATAAACAATTACATAAAAAAAAATTATATATATATATATATATTTTGATGAATAGTATGTAAAATATATTCATATATAAACTTTTATAATTATTCATATAATATTAATTACTTAAAAAATGTTCACATACAATACATACATAAAATCTCTCTCTCTCTCTCTCTATATATATATATATAATATTTGAATATAAAAATGTTATATATTCTAAAATATTGAAAATACATCAAAATATTATATATAAAAAGTTTTATATATTATACTAATAATCACTAATATTATATAAAAAGCAATTATTATATAATACATATATCATTAGTATATCATTATTAATACATACATATATTATGTTACATACACTCACAAACTGAACATTAAACAACAAGAATAATATAATCTATGAAATATATTCTAAAATATAAAAAAATATATGAAAATATTATATATGATATTGTTATATGAATAATGAATATATAAATTATTAATTAATATTAAAGACATACATATGCACAACTTGCCTATTAGTCTATAAAACAAATTTTTTCACACCGAGCGCGAAGCAATTGTTCGCCTACTGCTAATTCATGCCTGCACGCTAGGTGGCGCCGACCAACAATGCATTTTTCCTCAGATATGTATCTCGTATATGGATTTAACATCGTCTGCTGCTCAATATACAGCATTAAATTAAGATAAACAAAGTTTGGTTCTACACCAGAAACACAAACTATTTATACTGCTTACAAGAATAGGCTACATCCTAAAAAATAATTAGAAGTACAATTAGCATCAAGCTACACTTGAAAATGTATGTAATTATTAATGCATTTGCGTCCTTCAGTCCTCTCCAGAATGTCATGGTGTCCTCTGACATGGAGCAGAATGGCCGGTGACAGCGTTAAACCCATTCACTACACAGACTAACTACAATACATCACATAAGTCTCTCACCTCCGATAGCCGTCACCCATTCTGTGCTGTCGTCACCAGCATCTGCCGAAATCGAAGCTGAGGATCCATTCACTGAAACATATATACAAATGATTAATCACTGCTCAAACCATTCAGTGGAACTATTATGAAAAAGCTGAATAAATAAGCTTTCCATTGATGTATGGTTTGTTAGGATAGGACAATATTTGGCCGAGATACAA